AGCAGACAACTGATAAAGGCATCTGTTTCAATTGCCTCTTCGACTAGTTGTAGTGTGGTGTGAATGGCGAGACTCAATGACGATGCCGACTACGATGCCGGCGAAACGTCTGGGAATGTACCAAGTCCACAATCCGACTCTGGAAATTAACATGCATACAATGGACTCCGAACTAGGTGCGTTCCTCTAAGTCTTCCTACCAATATGACCAAGTTTCGAAAGCAAGGTCAAACAACTTATATACAACAAAAGGAGACTGTGACCACACACATATCTTCAATTGTTAGCGAACTTTAAAAGACTTGGCAACTGCAACAATGTACCAAAATCCACTTCCTGATCGCCTTTCAGTTAAACGTCTGTGGTCTTTCTTCTGTCCTGATACTTCACCTATATCATTCCCTCTCTAGAACGACCTCTATCTTAGTTATTCCGGTTTACTACAAATTTGTGCAGGGTTTTATTTCCTCCCTCAAATGCCTGCATTTTTAAGGGATTCTAAAATGTACCACAATTTTCCAGCATAAATGTAGTCGAAAATGGACTAGATTTGTATCTTTGACGATTATGAGCCAGTGATACACCTGGAAATTTCCAAAGTCCAGTGTCCAGACTGAAAACTATCATGGTTACTATGGAATAGGACGCCTAATAAAAGGCGATCACACAGTTCCACCTGATAAAATGACCAGGTTATGAAGCGAGGGAAAATTGATTCTGTAAATTGAAATGAGAATGCAAGCAAAATTGAGGTCACATTATCTAGATGTTGATATCTCCAAGAAAGGAATGATAATGCAAGGATAATCTGAGGTTTCATAAATTCAGTGCTTATCTGGAGAAAACGTGGAACAAGGTTGCCGAGACTATAACATTTGATCAGCTTTAAATAGAGTGCATCGTTAACATTCGGTTTCCAGTAAAATTATAAATAAATGCCATGAGATGGGAGAAGATTGGAATGAAAAGCAAGAGCAAATCTTAGTATATGCTTTTACTTAAGTCGCAAATGATACCTGATGGCGATGCCTTTAGAAAGTCAAATCACTTTATACAGTAGCATTTCATTACCGTTAATCTAGTCAAAACTAGAAATGCTAAATAAGCCAATTATAAGCTAAAATTATACATATACGCAGAGAAAATTAGAGACCAATATTCGAATGAAAAAGACCAAGGAAAATTAATAAATATAAGCGAGCGTAAAATGGTTTTTAAAAAAATTAAGCCCACCTGTTCCTTCTCCAAAGTAGCCTTGGCAACGTCAGAGCGTTCTATTTCGCGTTCCTCTAAAAGTTGCTCAATGTGCGCCTCCTTCTCCTTAATAACTTTCTGGAAGTAAAAAGTATGAAAACACTAAAATATAAGATTGTAAAAAGGAAAATGAATGCTATGAAAATAAAATTAAAAATTTATGTAAATATCATTTTGGGAGAGAAAATCATGCGAATGAGGAACAACACAAAGGACACAATATAGAAACGAAAAAATAATAAAAAAACGATGGGCGAAGGTACGATGAACACGAAAAATATTGTATCGTGGTCACTCTAATTTCGGTGCTACGGGATGTGAGGTAAGCTAACGATGAATAACTGTGTTGCACCATACTTCGTAACCGGACAGGCTTTATTGAAATAATGTATTGGAAGTGAAATATGGCCTGTATCCTCAGACTCCCTAAACAACCAATGATAAAAGAGAAATAATTTGCCACGAAGTAGGTCACGAACCTGCTCCTAATATATTTGCCTCTAGAGATTTAGGGAAAAACAATCTTTAGTGAGTAATAACCCGTGAAAAGATTTACTGCTAGCTAAGAAAACTTGTACTTAAAGATGCGCCATAAACTATGAAGTGCAATGCATTAAAGGTGAAAACGTAGTGGTTTTTATCTGTGATATGCTAAGTCATGAGAATAAGGACACATTCCTACATGTCTCGTGCTTAGGAAAAGTTAAGAAAACTAATATTTCTTTACTCTCTATACTCATATGATGTCAGGTATAGAAAGAATCGATATATGTGAGCGTATGTATGCGTGGACGAACGAAATGAAATTGAAAGCACTAAGTAACCATAACAGAGCAGAAATCTGTCATATGGTCATAAAGACTTTATGATTTTTATATTTTATTCGAGAAGAATCATTTCCACGATTATGCAATGCCGAACAATCGTTTTACGAATTAGTTAGCATGCTTAGCTAGTATGGCAAGTATGGCAGCAATTAAGGCTAGTAGAGGAATCATTATTCAAATGGTCTACTTTTAGAAGGGGACTCAATCGCCTCTAGCCTTAATTATATCAATAAAGAATAAGTTATTCTTTCTTAATTTACTACCCTAATCTTTAGCATTCAAAGAGTCCCAAAGGCTCTTTATTTCAATGGCTTCCTTGAAGTTGGGTTTTGGCAGAAACAAACAAAAATGTGAAAACCGAAGTCACAACTATAAAGTTAATAAAGAGCTGATTCATTAACTCTGACGAGTAATGTGGATAGAGGGAGCCATATCATCGGTCTAACTAAGCCAAATGCACATAAACCCACGCAAATGAGCTCTATCAGAGGTTCCAGAATTTTATTGTAATTATAGTGGCAAGACGACTTTACATAGAAAAATTTCATTTATAGCGTATATGCCCAAGTTCAGACAAAGGATGTTCTGTTCAAAGAGTAGTATTTTCCCAGCAAATAACAGATAATGAAATAAGCGGGGGTAATTAGAATAACACATTCCAAGTCACGCATGGAACTTTGCAAATGCACAGATTACCATTAATACATATATCCTCAAAGAAGCTGTATTTGTCAAGTTATATTTCATTTTGACCTGACCTATGAACTATAGGCCCAGAGTAAAATATATACAAAATAAGAAATAGAATCGTACATAGAAACAAGAAAGCGGCACGCAACTGAGGAAACATAGTTGCAAGCGGACAACGTTTTTACGACCTCATGAGTATGAGGTCTGAAGAGTGTGATTTATAAATAACACCTGGCTGTGGTCGTGCGAAAAATGCTTGTCAACCCCATCTATTCACGTATTAGTTGGAAAGGTCGGAGAATGCACTAGATTTTATAAAGATAAAAAATTTACCTTTGTGATAAATTTAGAGTGAATATGCTAAGCAAAAGTAAAACATCTTCATAGATAGATAATTAGGTAAGACAAGTAAAGGGAAGACAAGCATTGTGTAAGCTAAAAGGAAGCTAAACATCTAGTGAATAGTGTATAATAGAGCAAACTAAGACAATTTAAGAATGAAAGAGAACTTTGATTATCAAGCAGTCTAGCTACATGTGCTTCCAGGAAAGGAGAAGGCAAAATAGGATGGCATAGTGAATTAGAGCTGTCAATAAAAAATGTTAATAGCATTAAGTACTGATGAAGATGGTGTCTAAAATCAGATTGTTTGCAGAGAAGCCAATCAATGCAAAGTAAGCATTTAATCATATAATTAATCACGATATGAGTAATGCTTCAACATGAAAGAAATTAACAGTGAAGGTTAGTCTTTAAGCTCCATTAAGATGCAACATGCCTATATTGGCGTCAGTCATAATAGATAAACATATTCAATCCCGGAGTTGCGTCATAGCTTCTTCTTATGCTGTAAGAGAAATGTATTTCTATCATCCTCCTGGGGTAGTTACTGTGCAGCCTATCAAGATAAGCTTGCTAGCTATTTTGTAAGCTTCAAGATTTTCACCCATAAGGCAGACCAAACGAAACAGTCTCAGAGGGCCGCATAATCTCAGCAATTATTGAGTAGGATATACGTTTCAAGGGGTCAAACATGAGTAAAAAAATAATCAGGATATGCAAAATATTACTCTTGTATAGAATGCTAGACAAAAGGATACGAAACAGATATAATAATACCTGCTGGCACAAGAGAAATTAGCGTAGAAAAAAACTCAATGTCTGAGAGTGATAGCAAGCAAATTGTTTTTCTTAATACCACAATGTTCAGAATTTCGCAGATTCACAAAAAGGGAATTTAAAAGGAAATCTGATCATAATCCAATCCATATTTGGAAACCATGACTTTAAAATATTGACGAATATCTTAAATACTGTTAAAAAAATTAACCCTTGATAGCAATGAACATATCAGTGCTAGCAATACGTCAATAAAATATCTAGCTAAATGGTGTAAACAAGATTGCTTTTAGATACAAAATGTCATACCAAGAATTTGAGTCTAGAAAGAACCGCTTTATCGTGTATAAAAGTGTTGGTTTAGCCGAGTGACTCAAGAAAGAACGATTTTGTCTCTGAACCCGAACGTCCGTTAATCAACTTCTAATAAAAATGATGATAATCAGAAAGGGTTGAGACGCCAAACCAGTATAACTAAAAGTGGCTCTTTATAAGGCACAATTAAGTGAATTTTTATGCTGAATCATGCCGGTAGAATAGCATTCTGTTTCTGTAACGCCATACAAAAATAGTGTACCTTGTCAGGAAATCGGATTCCTGAAAATAATAACAAATAAAAATGAGCAATATAATGTAGCCAAAGGAAAATTCCAAAGGTTAAGAAAGACCATCTACACACAAAATTTCACAATGAGATTAAAGCATAAAGTAAGTATGCACATTGACAAAATGCATAAGGAAACAAAGCTAAATACAATTGAATGTAATCCTCTAAAATTAGTTTCAATGAAAGAATTCTAAGTTTTATTCACTATTTAGAACGTGCAAACCAGAAGAGGTGTGACATAAAGGCTTGAAAATATTTAGGTACAAACTCAAGATCATGAACATTTAAACGAAATTAGAGGAACTCAAAAAGTGAACGACCAAAAATAACAGGATAAACGGTTTTTTTACATAAAAATGCAATAACCATTTGGCCCTCTTGTGAGGGTAGGGGAAAAAGGCGGCCTAGTTATCATCAGGATGCAGGCAAAAGCTATCTATCGGTAGATGAGTAAATGCAAGAAACTTCCAGCAACCAAGGCATATAGCATGGCGTAGGGACAATACAAAATCACTAGGCTCTGTACGTGCAATATGGACAAGCAAACGGATGAGTGTGTGCTTGCAAGTATTTGCTGAAAATGCCTGGCACACCTGTAGTGTCTGTAAATCGAAATGGGCAGCTTGGTGCCTCTGAGCAGAAAACCGTCGAGGGGCACCAGTGTTGGCTCGAAACTGAAGATAATAGAAATTAAAACACAAAATAGAGTAGTGGCGGGAAGGAAAACAGTTAGAGGTAAACGAAGGAAGAAAGGAATGCATGTACTTCGTAATATAAACCTTTTAATGAGGTGTGATAATCAAAAGATTAGAATTGCAAAGTGGTCTCTTAAATGTTAAATGACTTTCATAAATTAGCAGACCATGGTAGATCATCTTGTACTCTGATGTACATGAATAATTAATGATATTGAAGGAATATGAATCCATATTGTTATGATAAAAGTAAAAGAAAAAAACCTCTAGGAAAAATACTATATTCTGTGCCCATCTTATGACTAGGCTACTTCTTTTCCCGGGGAGTTCGTAATAATAGGGCAAAGCATAGGTGACTAAGGAAAACATCGGGGTAAAGTGATAAAAGGATTTTCCAGTCACCTCGGAAGTTGGGTAAACGTATTATACAATGATCCACCTTGTAATATTAGATGAGCGACTGCGAGTATCCAGGACACAAGTAATTATCAAGGAGAAACGACAAAATAATCGCCCAAAAGCTCAATGATAAGGCTAGTGGGTAAATCATACGACCCAGTGGCCTAGGAGGACATCCAAGCGACAATCTGTGCTACACGCTGACTAAGCTTTGCTACTAAGGTCTATATGGCTTTGATGATAAACAGCCATTTTTGATATCGCGGTCTCAAACAAATTTCCTGCCTTCTAGTTCGAAAGAATAGGACTGAACATTTGCTGCAAGGAGAATGGCAGAGCTGGTATCACTGAACCTTTGCATGAAATACTAGTTATCAGACGTTAGTTTCTTTTTCTCAAGAAATATTATCTAAACAAAAGCTGGTTTTTTATGGAGCTAATGATACATGTTTGGCTATGCCGACGCTCAATTTGGGTAAAACTGGGAAGTGAAGAGGTATGTAGGCTAAATTCGCCAGAGAACGATGCCGAATTCGCCTTAGCCTGTTGTTATATGATTTAACATAAACATTGAAGCTGTTAAATACATGTAAATGTCCTTCTTTGGTTCCAGTCAAAGCATGCTGGTGTTCTTCTTGCGTGAAATGAATAGGAACAGCTGAAAATCATTCTTAAAATAGCTTTGGGCTAACAATGCACAATTAGAAAAAATCCCATTTTCCATTACTCGTCCCATGGATTATCTTTAACCGAAATCAAAAAACGTAGAGAATAGTATGGCTATTCGGAATAAACATCTTTCTATGTATTTGTACGAGATCATCGGTGATAGTTTCAAGAATATATCCAAGACTAAAGGACATTTTAATTCAATGAAATGCAGCACAATTTTGGCCTGGCTAAGGAGCTAAGCTAAATACGTGAAATTTGATGTATTGAAAAGATTAAACATAAGAACCCAAAAGATTGGACTAATCGAGTTCCACATTCTTGATTCTAATATTTAAGCACAAGTAAATATTATTTAACTATCTAATGTATGAAGACAAAGAGAAGTGTCTCTTTGGCAAGTTGAAGTGTGGTGCTCAGAGTGGCAAGACTCACTGATGATGCCGGAGAAATATCTGATCTGACTCTGGAAATTAGCATACATACTGTGGACTTTGGACAAGATGTGTTACCCTAAGTCCCCTTGACAAAACGACCAAGTTGCGAAAACAAGGTCAAATAACTTCTATTACTTAACTATGTTTGGGATATTTAACTTTTAATGCCGAGAAGAAATTAGGTACTATGTCTCTGAATAAATAATAAGCAGCTACAGATAGAGTTTTGCAACTCCTGTGCGGAGGACCGCAAACATTCGTTAAATTAGTCAAGCCGAAAAAGTGACGGTCAAAGCAAGCAAGTAGAGATTGTAGTGGGGATTTAGCTTCAGAGGTGAGGTGGCTATTAGACTGGAGGCCTAAGAGGCCTGGAAGTTCTATCGTCAGAGCCAAATGGAGCAGAAAAGAAACATTTTTTCTTCAAGGTACAAATGGGGCAGAGAAAAAAAGGAAGGCACAACGCCTCACAGCTTCAACTCGAGAGGTCACGGTAACAGTCTGTCCAGCAACTTTTACCTACTATACCATCAAAGCAGGTGAGGATTTCAAACTGCTGATTCTAAAAATGAGAAAGGGTAAAGGTCAAAATGCAACGTCATTCTACTTCTATCACATTTTGTAATTTTGTGAATAGTGGTTAGACGAACTAGATTTGTGAAGATAAACAGCATGCAACCACTAAAAACCTCAACTTGAATTATCTAATTTATGCCGACAAATATGTTGACAAAATCCCATAGAATCAGGTTATTCACTATACGCTAGGTTAAGGCTGAAGGGCGCATTCTTAGACTTGCACTTGGTATCAACTTCAGTCTATTTGAAGATGATGCCTTATGCTAAGGGATAACATGTAATAAAAATCAGCATTACTTCCAGGTTGTAGGAGTATAAATATAACATTATTTATGCTAGGGGATTCAAGACAGAAGCAGAGTAAGCTTCCCATGAGAAGTGGTTGGATCTAGACGTCAAAATTTTGACAAATTAACGAAAGCTTGGCCCATTTTCATTCGAAATGATGGAGGATGTCTGGTGGACCACGCCAAGCTGAATGTCGAATTAAATCTAAACGTCTGCAGTACAAAGAGAATAAACCGTCGTCTTCTAGAGAGAACGACCGTCGAATCTCCTCTTCATGTACTTTAAAACTAAATCAACAGACTCCCCAACAAAATGGAAGCCAAATCATCTTGGTCTATAAATATTCAATTGATCCACATGATTTGGATGGTAAAGTGACTTAGAGAGAATCCATTTATTCCCACCAGTTATAAGCATGTATTGAGTGAATCTAGTCCTGCAATGATGCTGACTAACGAA